TTTCGATCCAGACTTTTTGTATCGCATCCCAGAGTTGATCTTGAGTATGAATGGCAATGGATGATCTTCTCAAACGCCAGTCTATTTCGTTCCAGAGATGCTCGATTGGGGAAGCCAATCAATTATATGAATTTCATTATCAAACCATTCATATGTAGAGTTTGCCGTGTGTTTTGGATCATTGTCTTGTTGAAAGACAATATCATTCTTATTAATATCATACCACCTGATTGTTCCTAAAAGATCATCATCTAAGATTTCACGGTATAATTCCTTATCCATACAACCATAAATGTGCACGACATTGCCAATGCCAAAGGATGAAAAGCAACCCCAAACCATTATACAGTCAGCACGGAAAGTAATGGCGGTGATACAGACTGCTGAATTTTTCGTCAGGCAGAAAGCGATCGACCTTGTGCAACATGTGCAACATTTTTCACATGTTGCACATCATTCTTTATTTGATTTGTAACCAAAATGTAAACAAAAAACGTTTTTTATTACCGTAAAATTCAATCGTGAGACCGTAATGAGATTTTGGCGAAATGGCTGGCGTAACGCTAGAGAAATTTCGCAAAAACTGGTATTCCACTTCGCTCTTGTGAACGTTACGTGGCTTCGCTTCGTAAAAATGGACAAATTCCGGATATTCGTCGTCCTGGTCGTCCACATAAAATTTCGCCTACTATGCGCCGCCACATCGGTCAAATCGTAAATTCAAATCATTTACTTACGGCGGCTGAAATCAAAGCGCTGCTCGAAGAAACACACACAGGATTCGAAGTAGTGTCCGTGACGAGCTTTCTAGGCTCTGTTATGTTGCTTCCTTGCCAAGACGCGTTCCTCTTCTTACCCCTTAAGCCAAAGAAGACCGATTTCAATGGGCCGGCAATCATCTTGATTATAACTGGCGCAAGGTTGTGTTTTCCGACGAAACAACTCTGCAATTATCCCGAAACACTTGCCTGGCGTGGTCGCGTGAAAAAACTGTTGCACCAATGGTAAAACACCCGTTCAAACTCCATATGTGGGGAGCGATTTGTGCACGTGGAAAAGTTGGGATGTGCACATTTACACAAAACATGGATCGGCATCTGTACCGCGAAATTCTTAATAATCACTTGTATGACAATGCAACAAACATGTACGCTGGATTTTCCAGCAGGACAACGATCCAAAACACCGCTCAAATGACGTAAAGAATGATCTCAAAGCTCGGCTGCCGGGACGCGTTCTTCCGTGGCCGTCATACAGCCCCGATCTTAACCCGATCGAAAACATCTGATCATTTCTTAAACGGAATGTTGAAAAAAAGGTAAAAAAATTGTCGCTCAAAAAAACTCGGTGTCACAGGAGGCTTTTATCGCGTTAATGGAGAATGAGTGGATAAATCTTCCCGAGGAACTGATCTTTAGCTGTATCAGCAGTATACCGGACCGCGTTCAAGCCTGTATTGACAAGGAAGGAGGAAATACTCGATATTAATATTTTATGTGGACATGTTGCCCTACTTAATCCATTTTGGAAATAAATTTTTTTTTGAAAAAATTCGTCCCCAAATTTTACTATATGTTTCACATAGTGCTCTTTTAGTGGTTCAGTATCACGTTTCCAGTAGTATTCACGTCTAACCAAATTAAAAATCATAAATTTCGGTTCGTCGGACCAGATAACTTTGCTCCAGTCATCAGTTGTCTTTTCCTTGGAAATTATTGCATGATGCTTGATAAAGTAATGATGCAATTTCTGGTGGGATAGGATGATTTTGAATTTTATAAGGATTCATCTTGATAATTTTATCCCATTCCTCAATTGTGAAAATTGGATAGGACATGGGTTTGAAAGTACTATAATTGAAGATAAAGCTCGTAGATATAATAAGAAAAATGTGGTTGTCCACTGTTGATGTTTTTTTGCGAAATTCAAACGTTGAATTCGATGTTTTTTATTAAGATATGGTTTCTTTCGCTTAATTCGTGAAGAAAGACCATTACGATATAAAGTTTGCTTTATTGTGCTTCGATTTTGCCTTCAGATTTCAGTTTTTTTTTTTTGGATGGAATCTGCATCACCATTCGAAATTAGACGTATGATACGTATTTCGTTCGTCACGACCAGTAAAAATTCTAGAACGACCTGGTTTTGGTAAATCTTTAAAGGTATCATGAGTATCTTTTTTTTGCTTTATTCTTATGACGGTAGATTGGAAATATTTTTACGGTTTGCAATAAAATGAGAGGAATACCCTCCTTGAAGAAGGATATAAATTTGGACTGGTTTGGCGTAAATAAAGACCAAACAAATAAAGTCGTGTTACATTTATTATTTATGCTTTTAACTTATATATTTGTTGAATTTCATATGTCTGTAGCGTTTATATTATTAAAAATTGACTTTTTTATTTTTTCGTTTCAGTGATGCATCACTTTTGAGTGCCACTGTACATGTTTTTAGAGTTTTACATAATAGTATCATTTTTCTACATGACTTCAATCAAGATAAATAATACGATTTTTAAGAAAGTAAAAAGCATTGTTTGGGAAAAATATGCAAGATCGAACTAAGAGTTGTTTAAGAGAGAAATCGTAAGGAGAAGGGAAAAGATATAAGACAAATTAATGAAAACTTTTAAGAGAGAAAATCGTTATTTAATTAAAAGATTGTAAATAAGAGATCCGTGAGAAAAAAGAGAGAAAACCGTGATAAAAGAAAAAGAAAAAGAAAACAGGATAAAATAAAAGAGAGCATCAGATGGAACGTTTGAGAAAGAAAACCACCCAGTTTGTGACTCGAGGACATCGAAAAAGAGTGGAAAAGCGTTACCTCTTTGTTCGTTGGATCGTGTAACACTAAAAGGAATCAAAATTCGGGAAGAATATCTAAGAGAATTGTTAACTGATACATTAATTCGAGAAGCTAGGTTAGCCAATAATGAGATATCCGATATCCCATCTAGATTTCTTAGACTAAACCCCTTTCCCAACAAAACATTTCCCATATCCTCGACAACCTATTTCACCGACCACCCATATCTCCGACATGACATTTCATCGACATAATATTTCCCGACATAACATTTTCCTAACAAATCCATGCAAAACCAGCCAGTTAATACATTATATCACAATATCCCATCATGTTGGGAAAACATCTTGTCAGAGAAATCTCCATTCATGTCGGGGTAAATGAGTTCGGGTAAATTAATAAATTCTGAGTTTACATTATTTAATTAACTTCGTAATAAACACCTGCATTTACACACCCCTACAGTATATTACCGAAAATTTCAAAAATGAATTTATCACTTTGTAACCCGATATCTCGACATCCAGTGATCCCATTCGAACAAAAATATTACCATTAGATTTGTCTCGACTATACAAATCTAATGGTGACATTTTTGTTCGAATGGGATCACTGGATGTCGAGATATCGGGTTACAAAGTGACAAATCATTTTTGAAATTTCCGGTAATATACTGTAGGGGTGTGTATCAATTAAATTTAATATCGATATCATGTCTGATTTATTGGAATAATAAAGTCTAAATTGATTCACACACACGAATGGAAGTTCTATAACACAAAACACATACAAGTTAGTTAAATAATAAACGGCCTCTAAGATTTAGTGAAATGATCTAAATCGATTTGCTTGTATAATTCATTGGAGCACTTTTACACTACATAAACATATTTTAACATAATGAGAACAACAATAAAATAGAAGTTCTGATCACACAATCACACAATCTGTACTGGACGAACGCAGAACTTAACTCTCATGTTTATTTATCGTATCGTTACCCATAATTTCAAAGTTTTAAATAAAACATTAATAAAAAACGGACTTATAAATCATTGTAGTGAGTGCGTTTTTTATCGAGTACGGGCATTTTAGCACACTCTCAGAACCAATTAGATACGTAATCAGGTTGGTTCTGAGTATTCAGACTACACAACACATTATCGGAAAATCAGAAATAAATCTGGATATAGAAAAATATGTAGACATAACGATAATCTTTTATTCATTACAAATGTCGCAAAAGAAAGGAGTCTATGCTACACAGTCGGTAACCATCATTTAAATTACCTTTCTTCTTTTTCAACTCTTTTCCATTCTTCTAACCTTTATCACTTTCAACAACAGCACGACACAAGCTTTCGCCTTACCTGGAACAAACATGAATATGAACAGCGTGCACGAGCTCGTGCTCGTCGTGAACAACAGCTAGAAGAGGAGGAAGAGCAAAAAACGTAAAGATCTAAAACCTAAACCAGCTGACGATGTTTTGGATGAAGAGAAAGTTATGCTCGATGCTAACTTGAATATGACCCAGTTAGTTCAAAGCACCAGTATTGCCTTGAAACAACCAGGATGTTATTGTAAGATGTGCGATTGTGTGGTGAAGGGTAGTGTCAATTATTTGGATCACATTAATGGAAAAAAACGTGAGTATTTGTTCTATGCGTGTGAGCTTATTTATTCCCTTTTCATAAAGATCAAAGAACGCTATTTTATAAATTTATTAATTTATTAGTTTTTAAATCAGTTAGTTATTTATACTTTTTTAAAGTAAAAGCAAATATTTTACTATAAATGGTAATAAGCAAATATTTTTAAGAAAAATTTAGAGATATACTTGTAAGATTATAATAATTTTTATTATTTTATATAATAAATAAAAATTCTCATTATTAAGTTGTTACATCAATAAAAGAAATTATAAATATTAATTGAAGTTTTAATACTCAAACTGTTACAAAGATATTCAAATAGTTTTAACCAACAAACAAAATTTTCAAATCATTAAACAATCAATAGAAAAAAATAAGAACAAATTTCAATAATTTCAAAGATTTCTTTGTAATAGTATTTATGAATATTATTAAATTTATTAACAATTAATGATTTAATCAGAAGATCCAGTTACTCATATATAAAGTATTTTAATTTTTACATTAACTGAAAATCTAATTAAATTGCATTTTGTCAAATTTTTAATCAAGTCTCAAAATAATATTATTTTTAAATATATATAAAATAATAAAATTTATTGATAGGAATAAATACAATAATATCAAAATTTATCAATTAAATATGAATTTTTTTCTCTTTATATCAAAGTTTTCAATTTTATTAATTAATATTTTTTATTTTTACATTAAAATAAAGATTATATTATATATATATTTTTAAGATTTTCTAAAAAAAGCTGTTCTAATTACAAATAAAGTCAATTATTTTTTTATAACTAAAACATATAAAAAATAATTAATTTTATATATAATTAAAATAGTTTTATAAATCTAAAAGATTTGAAAAAAAATATATTAAAATATGTGATATTAATTTTATTTTAATATAAAAATAAAAAATATAAAAAAATAATTGACTTTATATGCAAATAAAAAAATTTTATCAGATTAAATTTAAAAAATATATGTTAAAATATGTGATATTATCCTTATTTTAATATAAAAATAAAAATATTTATTAGTAAATTGAAAACTTTTATATAAAGAAAAAATTCACATTTTATATATTTAATTAATAAATTTTGATGTTATTATATTATTTTTAATTATTACTATATATACAGTGACAATCAGAAATAATGCAACGACATCAAAATTTACTAATTAAACATAGTAAAATGCATATTTTTCTCTTTATATAAAA